AATCTCGACACGTCGACCACTACGCCACATTGCCACGAGTGCCCTTGGGTCACAGGGCAGATATGAATTTTAGGGAAGACCAAATATTTTACCATATCACATTCTGTGGTGGGATTGACGATATAATGAAGTTGTATTTGAAATAGCAATCGACTACATTAATTACCTTTAGTTTATAAGTAGGCTTTCAAGCCTACCAGTATATCATATGAAATATATTCCTCCTATTTCGTTTAGGGTAATAAGGAGACTGGTAGTTGGATTGTCTCAGAATTATGAGTAGACAAGAAGTGACAAAATTATACGTTGCACTGTCATTGTTTGAGTCACGCTGGGGATGTCGATAAGGCCTAGGCGAGATCGAGACTGCAGTCCATCCTGGATAAGAATAACTTTTGGGATAGGAAAGCCATGTGAAATTCAATGAAAAAGTCATACCTATTCATATAATTGTGGGAAAATTCAACTTCCGTACTCATTATTAGCCTAAACGAAATAGGATGAAAATATCTCATATATAAAAATAGATTCCCTCTCTAATGATCTCCTAAGCATGTGAGTTTAAAAAATAATCAAACAAAACGATCAATACGCATTCACATTTTGTTAGTGTTCGGCAGTAATAATCAATCACTGGGATAATATAACCGTCGCATATTAGAGCTCTCTATAACGACTTGACTTCACCAATAATGCAAGTCTCAAGCACCCAAAAAGACCCCATATTAACCTTAGTTTATGCGGTCTGAAAACAAAGCTTACAAGATCAAAGCTTAGTAAATCCAGAAAGGTTTCACCTATTTTTTCTCTACATAAGTTTACATTTCAGCTGGATGACATTCACACGAAAGCAAATGTTGTAAAGCAGCTTCATTGACATGAGGATGCAATTCCCAAGGTGCAGTACGTAGTCTCTACTATTTACTTATGTGAAACAATTTGGAGGGTATATAAAGTGGCACATCAAAGGATACGACAATGCGGCCTAAAAAGTGTTACTATGGGCCGTGCGTAATCTTATCTCCCGGTCTGATATTCGGGATTAATAATGTGGCCCAACGGAGCTACACCTTTTACAGTATACACTGCGAATAGTTCACAGTAAAATATTATTTAGAAAATAAACAATTTAATAACAATAAAATTATATTCTAATGCTTCTAAGGTTTAAGTAGATACTTACACCAAAGTCGTGTACTTGCTTAGCACTTCTATAAGCTGAGTCTGTAGCTCCAGTTGTAGAATTTCGCGGGGTACTATCACTTGATCGAAGACATGCAATTCACAGTGGTGATTTACAGTGAAACAAAGCTGGCTGAGGGTAAACAGTGTTTTGTCGAAAGGTGTTTGCTCTTCGCGGCTGCGCCGGAAACTCTCTGATCCGGGCAAATCACCTACGCCAAAGCCATTGGGGCCAGGAGCTACCCCGCGAACTCGCTTAGAATCGCTCTGACTACCACTGTTACCAGTATTGCCTCCACCAAGGCCTCCATTCAGACCATTTAAAAAAGTAGCATGGCCACGATAATTGCTCTAGAGGGATAAAAAAACATCGAAAATGACAGTATTAAGAGGCTCCATCAGGATTGTGTGGAATCATGGGAAGCAAATATAAGTCAAATAAAATGGCAAAGTATGAGGCTCGTGATGCGAAGTTCCATCAGCAAGTATAGAAAATTCAAAGTTAAACCAAGTATAAATAAAGAATAAGAAGGCGACCGACTCGGTATTAGTAACTTCGAGTAATTTTTCAAAGAATAAAATAAAGTGGAATGAGGAAAATCACTGGGCGTTTAAAAAAACAATGCAAGCATGAACAAATGATGGAGCTTGGCAAAGACCTTAAAACCAATATCAGAGAAAAATGAGAGAATACCTTGTTTTTATGCTTCTTTTTTTTTCCTGTTGGCTTGTCTTCAATAAGCAATTGAACACCGTTTTGTGGGGCTAATTGATCTGCTAGTTCCCCAAATTTGTCGACTCGAGCCAGCAAGTAGAGACAGACCCGTTCAGCCAATACTTGGCACTGGTTGGCTGCCATACGTACTGCTACTTGGCCGATAATAGCTCGTTCTTCGGGGCAAAGATCATGACATGCCATAGTAAATCGAGCACAAAGGCTAGGGAAGACTATGGCAAATCTCAGCTGGCTGGGATTACGCAAACATTGGTTGAAGAAATCTGTGTGTATTTCTGGATAAAAGTGGAAAATCGAAAGATCACAGACGAGGCGCAGGAGTTCATCCAAATAGTCGACTAGTTTAGTATGAAAGATAGTTGAGTGCATATGCTCTACAAGACGCCGATTATCAACTAGGTTAAGGGGTGAAGTTGGAATAAATAGATAAATTTGGAGACGAAGCCAGTCCAGTCGAAGACCGGAGAAGTCAAGCAAATGTGGGGACACAGAGGTGCCCGGCTCCCCAGATTTTTGGGTTATAGCAGCCTGTTCCTCAGAAATATTAGAAAGCTTGGCCACGAAACTGTTGAATATTTCCGCTTCTTCACCGGGCAGCTTAGGCAAAACAGCTCTCAGATACTCAGAAAGACCAGGTCGATCGTAGGCAGTTAGGAGCTGTATGTAAAAGCGCTGAAC